GGTCCTGAGTTCAATTCCCAGCAACCATGTGGTAGCTCACAACCATCTGTAATGAAATCTGGAGTCCTCTTCTGGCCTGCAGACATATATCCAGACGTGTATACTTAATAAAGAAATACATCTTTTTAAAAAAAGAGTTATTTTTTGAAGCAGGGCTGTGGTAGTGTCCCCCTTTTGTTTAAGTAAGAGAGTTCTAAGCCTACTATGAAATTATATATAGTAAGTATAAACCTACATAATTATATACAATAAATACAAATATCCTATTCTAACTAGCTTAAGTCTTGTATAAGAAATAACTTGGCCACGTCATAAAAGGAAAGTAACTACGTTTATATAATCTTCAATCCCATCAAAGATCTGAGAAGGGAAATAATGTTACCTAAGTAATTAGGAAGTGCAATCAAACTTCCAGAACATGTAACAAATCACAGAGACAACTGGCTACCTGGGCAATCACCCAAAATCATGTTTGCAGTGTTGAAGCAACCAACTTTGGCTAAGGCCTAACGTAACTGACATACCATTTTCAAAGGCAAGGAACTTTTTAAAACTATCTTATCCTGTCTTGGCAGGATATGATAGTCCTGTTTTATCCATTTATGGATATTCTGCAACTCTGTCAGTAGTTGAGGTATGGGCATTTTTTTACCCAAAGGCCAGTTTTACCAAGAAGAAAGGCTCCAGGTGGAGTGTCTTTGGTGCTCAACATTCTCTCGGGAATAGATCAGTGTTGCCAGGAGCGATTGTGTCTCCCTACCACAGAACTCTGAGTTAGATTAAAGGCCATTTTCTATAGCTCTTTGAAGAGGTTGAAGATTATCTATCTATACTGAATATAATCTCTATGTATCTAAAGAACCTGATTAGTCTAATTATAAATGACAAACTTAGATGACTATTGATCTATATTATTCTCAATATCTATCTAACTTAAAGACTGAAATAGTAAACAACTGTGCAATAAATGGGGACAATATGACCTCCAAATATAAACAATGTGCAAGTATACATTGCAATATGGTAAATATATATATCAATACATAAACAATATATAAGTATCTTAATCAGAGGTAGAAGTGTACAATGCAATATGGTAAAATATACATATATCAATACAATATATATATGTCAATACATAAAAATGTTTTAAACAGAGGTAGAAGCATGTATGCATAAAATAGTCAACATAATTTAACTTTGTATCAATATATAAGAATCAATACCAATATATTTGTCAAAAACAATAACTCACAAGTACAAAGCTATTATCCCATAATCCAATTATCCCTTTTTTTTTTTTTTTGGCCAATTATTAACGAATCAATCCCACACCAGTTATGTTTTAAGGGGTTATTTATTTGGCGGGGGGTAAAACTTACATACACCATAAACCGTCAGGAAGGGAGCCTAGTCGCTGGAGCAGGAGCCGGGAGCAGCAGCTGAGACCGAGCACCGGAACCAAGAGCCGGAACCAAGAGGGCCTTATCCGGAACTGCTTCTCTTTTTAAGAGAGAAATATACCACGCCCCAGTGGGCTGGTATTTCAGCAGCTATTGGCTGACGGAGCGGAAGTCGCTCCCCGCTGCACTGTGGGCTCCTGCTTCAGTGATTATTGGTTGAGGCAGCGGAAGTTACTCCCACAACAGTAGTGCATGCCTGGAATCCCAGCACTTGGAAGGCAGAGGCAGGCAGATCTCTGTGAGTTCAAGGCCAGACTGGTCTACAGAAGGAGTTCCAGGACAGCTAAATAGCTAGGGCTACACAGAGAAACACTGTCTCAAAAAGAAAAAAAAAAGAATGATAGTGGAAGCCAGGTATAATGATATATCTTTTCTTTTCTTTCCTATCAAAGTCACTATCTTAATCTTTTCCTTTTTTTATGTGCATTGGTGTTTGTCTTGTATGAGGTAGTCAGATCCCCTGGAATTGGAGTTGTGAGCTGATATGTGGGCGCTGGCCCCATGGAAGAGCAGTCAGTGCTCTTAACCACTGAGCATCTCTCCAGCCCATGATGGCACATCTTTCCTACCAACACTTGGGAGGCAGATTTGTGAGTTCGAGGCCACCCTGGTCTACAGTGTGTGTTGTAGGACAGCCAGGGCTACACAGAGAAACTCTGTCTGTTACAAGCCGTATCTACAAAACACAAAGGATAGCAGCCTGGTGGCCCCATTGTCCCATCAGTCATTATCACCGCCAGCCTTGGAGGCTCCTTCTCCATCATTCCCCCCAAGGACAACGACTATCCAAATTTTCAGTTAATAATTTCCTTGAGGTTGCTTCTTTCTCTTGTTTCCCCCATTTATGATTGAAACAAGTTTATGCTCTGTAACCCAGCCTGGTCCTGAACTTGTCCCCTGCCTCACCCTCCTAGGTACTGAGACTATTTGAGTACCCTGGGGCTTTTTCTGATTTAAAGATTATTTATTTATATATCCCCAAATTCTGTTTTTAGTTTGCAAGTTTGACCTTTATATAAATGAAATGATTCTGGCTTCTGACTTCTTTTCTCCACCTAGACCTGAGATTTTTGGGGGAGGGGGGAGGTATTTATTTATGATTTATCAAGACAGGGTTTCTCTGTGTAGCCCTGGCCATTCTGGAACTCACTTTGTGAGTTGACCTTGAACTCACAGAGACTGTTTACGCCTCCCGAGAGTTGGAATTAAAGGCATGTGCCACCACCACCCGGTTTAGGCCTGAGATTATTAGTACAAACTGCTGATGTTTTACATCATCTGATGAATGTGAATACTGCCATACACTCTCTAGTGAAGAACAAGAGAACACCAAAACTAGACTCATGTTAAGGAACTTTAAGGATTAGCAAAAGGGAACTATTGCAATTACAAGGGCAGGAATCATTACACTGAGGAGGGGTTCGGACCCTGACAATGACTTCTTCAAAGGTCTCCGGGGCAAGGATCGCAGGTGAGAGTTATCAAGAGCTGTGGGAGAGGAAGCCCAATCTATGAGGGGCTTTTGAGGAAGAGGAGGGAAGATCTGGCTCAAACTGAGAATGGACAAAAGTTCAGAGATCCAGCCAGGGAGAAGGAAGTTAATCCAAAGCTTGATTGGCAGGGACAAGAAGGTCAGCTAAGTTTTTATGAGGCAAAGGACTGGAATTTGGAATCTGTCTGGTCTCCTCAGGGGTAAACAATGACTCATGACTCTTAGTAACTTGGATGAGTGGAGCTGCTCTTTACAGTAAACCATGTCCAGGAACACGAAAGAGTGGTCTGGGGTCCTTAACCCCCAGTGCTGTGCTGGATCCCAGAGCTCTGGCCAAGCTCCACGCTTTCAGAACATCGCACGGCAAAGTCATGCAAGATCTCTTTTTATTTTTTGAGACAGGCTCACATGTAGCCCAGGCTGACCTTAAACTTGTTGTACAGCTAAGTTGGACACTGAGCTTTTGATCCTCCTGCCTCTACCTCTGAAGGACTGGGATTGCAGAAACTACACCCAGTTCCTACAGTGCTGGGAATTGACCTCAGGGCTTCATGCACGCTACTCTATCAACTGGCAACTGGCAACTGCGTCCCTGTCTTGTTTGTTTGCTTACTTTCATGTTCTATTTTCATATATTAATTATACATACATTTCATTTTGAAATTTCTACACACGTATATAATGTGTTTTTATCACCCTTGCTCCTCCTGTTATCCTGTCTGTCCCACTCCCACTGACCGACGTTTTTCCCCAGTTAGTGTCATTCCTGCTCTCTTTTCTTAATCCTTAAAAATTTTATTTGTAAAAAATTTTTTTTATGTGTGAGGGTGTTTTGCCTGCATGGCTATCTATGCAACCTGTGTATGCCTAGTGCCTATAGAGAACAGAAGAAGGTGTTTGGATATCCTGGAACTGGAGCTTTTATCAACCGCCATGCACATTGGGTGCTAGGAATCAAACCCAGGACATTAGCAAGAGCAACAAGCGCTCTTAACTGTTCAGCCATTTCTGCAGCCTCTAACATCTTATACTTTTTTTTTTTTCAAGACAGGCTTTCTCTCAGGCTGTCCTGGAACTTCCTCTGTAGACCAGGCTGGCCTCAAACTTAGAGATCCTCTTGCCTCTGCCTCCCAGATGCTCAGATTAAAGGGCATGTGCAACTGCCAGTTACTTTAGTTTTTTTGTTTTGTTTTGTTTTTTTTAGTGAACCTATGAGCTTATTTTTACAGGAGCATGGCTAAGGGGGTGTTTTCAGAAGCGTTGACCCCTTACCAGTGGCTACACTACTGAAGAAAATGCCTCTTCCTCTCTTTAGTGTGACTTTTCTGGAGGAAATAAAAATAATTACCTTCTCACCCCAGACAGGGAGCCAACGATAGGGTAAAGTCTGCATAAAATTAATCAGCAACGATTCTCTTAGTGTCCAGCATGGTGATTTAATGAATTTATTGGAGTTATTCACAGGAGTATGCGTGAGGGTTTCTTTTCATAGTTTAGATGACTCAAAAGCAGTCCACTGCATTATAGAAAAGTCACCCCAGCATGGGATGGGTAATGACTCACAAAAGCTGCATCCCTGCCGTTCCCCACTGTTCTCGTTCTCTCTCTCTCTCTCTCTCTCTCTCTCTCTCTCTCTCGCCCTGGCTGGTCTTGAACTCACAGAGATCCGCCTGCTCCTGCCTCCCAAGAACTGGGATTAAAGGCGTGTGCCACCAGTTCCTGCGTTTTCAACTTTTATTTTAGATAGAGTCTTGTTATGTAGGACTGGTTGGGTTGGTATTGATGTCCAATCGCACATCAAACTCCCGCCAGCCCTCCTGGCTCAGCCTCCCCGATGCTTCACGCTGGTTCCTCCTTAGAACCGGTTCTCACTGAGGTACAGCCCAGTCAATAAAAGGAGTTCCCCATCATCTGTGGATCTGAACAAACGGCTTCTGCCCAAGAGCAGCTAAAACATAACTTGAAGGACCACACGGTCAAAAAGTCCGCGCTCTGGAAAAACAGACGCCAGAGTCCGAGTCGTGGTGTTCTCGCGAGAGTTGACGTCAAGCGATCATGTGACAGTCTAAGATGGCGACGCCCAGGGATGTGGACGAAGAGTCGACGGTGTACCTGGTGGTGAGTGGTATCCCTCCTGGGTTACGCTCGGCCCAGCTACGGAACTACTTCAGCCAGTTCCGGGAGCAGCGCGGCGGAGGCTTTCTGTGTTTCCACTATCGACATCGGCCAGAGAGGGGCCCTCCGCAGGCGGCGGCTCCCAACGCGGCCCGAGCTGCTCCCGACCCTGCTGCTGACGTTCCGGATCTCACCCAGACTGCAGCCCCTGATGCCGGCGCTGTCTCCGCCCGGAACTCTGCTCCCGTCCAGACCCCCACCTGCTGCTGCGTCGTCTCGGTGCGGGGAGTGGCGCAAGCTCAGAGACTGCTTCGCATGTACTCGGGCCGCCGGTGGCTGGACTCTGAGGGCACCTGGCTCCCGGGTCGTTGTCTCATCCGCAGGCTGAGAATACCCACTGAGGCTTCAGGTAAGGGAGAGAGAATGGACTGGACTTGTATACAGGCCTCAGGACGAAGGCACATTTCCTGGGTAGTGGAGATAGGTCAGACCTCTGCTTGTCACCGACAGTTTTGGACAAAGTTCACGTTTTCAGCCTTAATTTGCTATTTAGTGTCACGCAGACAAGACAAAAAAACAAGATAGACACCTATATAGTTGGGTTTCCAGTTTATCCCTTATTAAGACCATTTCTCTGAGGGGTTGATTTTTTTTATGTTTATCCTTTTTAAAAAAATATTTATTTATTATGTATACGGTGTTCTGCCTCCATGTGCCTGCAGGCTAGAAGAGGGCACCAGATCCCATTATAGATGGTTGTGAGCCATCCTGTGGTTGCTGGGAATTGAACTCAGGACTTTTGGAAGAACAGCGAGTGCTCTTAACCTCTCAGCCATCTCTACAGCACACAAGTGATTTTGAAACAGTTTTTCCTTGGCTACAAGAATTATTAACAAGAGTTTGGACCATTAGTCCTAGCACTTGGGAAACAGAGGCAGGGGGATCTCTGTAACTTCATAAGTTCCAGGCCAGCCAGCCAAGATTATGTAGCTCAGACCCTATCTCAAAAAAAAAAAAAAAAAAAAAAAGAACGAATGAAAGAAATAAAAAAAAAAAAAACAAGAGAAAGAAAACTTACAAAAAACCAGTGTGTAGGAAGTTAAGGTCTACCAGGCAGATAGGAACTAACCTGGAGTCGGCCTCTTGCTGTCAGAGGCCCTGATTTCACTGCCTGAGTGTCTAGCAACAGACGCTGTCAGAGGTCCTGATCATGCCTAGCCAATGAGCGCGCCCCCCGCCCCCCCCTGCTGTTAAACTGCTGTACGCCTTCTACCTCAGACACTGACACTATGCCTTCTCACTCCCATCCCTGAGGAAGATGTTAGAACCCAGCAACTCCAGTGGTGTCAGTTCAAGGTTGAACAAACAGTTGTTGAGCAGATGTTTTCAGAAAAGAATATTTTGTGTGTATGTGAGCAAGGTTATGGTTTTGGCAGAGTCCTTCCGAACAGTGTCTTGTCAGGGTATACTGTATGGGAGTAATGAGTTGCTTCTCTGTGTCTCAAACTATGTTAGAATGACTTTGAACCAGGTGGAATGACTTTGAACCATGGTAGAACACGCCTTTAATCCCAGGAAAGGCAAGCATATCTTTGAGTTCAAGATCAACCTGATCTACACATTATACATACCGGGCCTATCTAAAACATGAATAAAAGAAATAACCTTGATTTGAGTTCCTGATCCTCCTGCCCGTGCCTCTCAAGTTCTGGGATTATAAGTGTAGATCACCATATCTGACCAGTCCGTCATTTTTTTATTGACTTCTTGAAACAATCCTGGGCTACCAAGATGAGTAAGGGTGCTTATTGCCAGATCAGAAGACCTCAGTTGGATCTCCAAGACCCACATGGTAGAAGGAGAAAACCAACTATAGCACGTTATCGTCTGACCTCCATAGGAGCACCATGGTGTACACGCACATAACACAATAATCGAGCAAATAATAATTTTTAAAAAATCGTTTGATGTGCCTGGAATACAAGATATGTGCAGTGGGGATTGGTGACAGCTGAGCACCCAAAGGTCGGCATAGGGCTCGAGATCTAGTTGAGAGGTAATGATTCTATCTCTGGTACCAATGAAAGCCAATTGCCAGGAGGCAGATGTTGAAGAAAGCTGTATATCCCTCCAGGGAGACATGAAATACCAGGGCTAGACAGGAAATACATCTGGCTCACAAGTTAAACGTACTTAAGTTCATGCTGTTGCAGAGGATTCTCAGTTCCCAGCACCCGCACGGCAGCTCACAGCTCCAGTCTGGGGATCTGCCCTCCACAGGCTCCTTCATGCATGTGGTGCATATACATACACATACTCAGGTATATACACAGAAACATTTGTTTAAACTGCATTTATTTTGTGGAGGTAGAAGACACACATGTGCTGTGACAGTAGTGTGGGGGTCAGAGGACAACTTACGGGAGCCACCTTCTGCCATGTGGATTCTGGGGATCAGACTCAAACCATTCAACCTGGAGGAAGTTCATCTTGTTAGTCCTTGTTTGAAATATCTTACTATGTGGCCTAACTGGCCTCTAACTCATCCCCTCTTGCCTCAGTTTCCTGGGTGCTGTATACCACCATGCCTGATAGGAAAGAACTTTAAAGTGAGATTTACTTCTGACTTGAATCTCATTACTACAAACATCGAGGATTTTAACATCCATTCGTTTTCCCCTTTCCTAAGATCTGGGTCCCTTTCCCTTTAAAACCCGGAAGGAGCTACAGAGTCGAAAGGCAGCGAATGAAGCTTTTACTTTGTCCGACCTGAAGCAGCTACCCGAACTGAATCCACCAGTGCTAATGCCCAATGGCAACGTGGGCACGCCCTTGCGTATCTTTCTGGACTTGATCCGGGCCTGCCGTCTTCCCCCTCGCATCATCAAGCAGCTGCAGCTCCAGTTCCCGAAGACAGGCTCCTCCCGACGCTATGGCAATGTGCCCTTCGAGTATGAGGACTCGGAGACTGTGGAGCAAGAAGAGCATGTGTACACTGCTGAGGGGGAGGAAATCCCCCAGGAAACCTGCTTGGAAGAGCCACCAGCCAGCCTCTTGGATGAACCTGAGGATGAAGGGCCGCAGGAAGAAGAGGAGTCTCACTCCGATGATGTGAGTAGTGCAGCCCTCTGCTCATCTCTTGTAGAGGCCAGGCCAGGATTTGTAGTTGGAAGTTTCTATTCTGCCTGGTCCCGCATCCGTTCAGTCCCAAATAAACACACAGAGGCTTATATTAATTATAAACTATTTGACCTTTTGCTCAGGCTTATCAGTAACTAGCTCTTACAACTTAAATTAACACATAATTCTTATCTATGTTTAGCTATGTGGCTTGGTACCTTTTCTCAGTATTCTCATTTTGCTTCCTCTATGTTTGGCTGGTGATTGCAGACTGAGCATTTCTTCTTCCCAGAATTCTCCTATTCTGGTTGCCCACCTATACTTCCTGCCTGGCTACTGGCCAATTAGCGTTTTATTAAACCAGTAAAAGTGACAAATCTTTATAGTGTACAAGAGCATAGGGCCCCAGGGGAGTCAAGCCAAGAGTCATCCTGTCATTCCACAAGTCCAGTTGAGCACATTGTAGTAAGAACTAGTGCTCAAAGACATTCCATGATCCATTTTCTGCCCTGCAAGAGCCGAAATGTTGAAACAAGAAAGAAAGAGTGTGGAAGGCTGTGTGGTGATGGCCTGGGATTGCCTGCTGGCTCGGCTGCTCTTGGCAGTGTGTGGGCAGCCTTATCTCTGACTTTGGTTCCCTCCTGTAAAGTGGAAATAAAAGCACTTACCTCACAGGGCCACCAGGATTATTCTAGGAACCCAGTTGTAGGAAGGGCCTATGCAGCAGGAGCTGACAGAATTGAGAAATTTCTCAATTGAGAATTGAGAAATTGGTGTACACCGATTAACACACTAGAGAGAGCTCTAGACCGAGTGGGCTTTGTGTAGGCTGGGGACTCAGCTTGAGGATTTGAGCAAGCAGAGAAGTGGCGTGGAGGAGGAACTGTGGTCACTAGCACAGAACTGAGAGCGGGTGGGGGTGAGCAGCAGAGGGATGGCAACAGGTGTCGTCAGGGTCCAGATGTGCTGCTTCTGGAGATGCCTGGAAGCACGGTGCTGTGGTCCAGGTCCCATGTCCCCTGCTGGGCCCTGGGACTCCTCCTCCTAGGCCTGCGGTCTGGAGTCAGACACACAGGTCACCCTTCCTCCCCTTCTCCCAGGACGATGACCGGTGTGAGGAGTGGGAGCGTCATGAGGCTCTGCACGAGGACGTGACCAGGCAGGAGCGGACGACCGAGCGACTCTTCGAGGAGGAGATTGAGCTCAAGTGGGAGAAGGGCGGCTCTGGCCTGGTATTCTACACTGATGCTCAGTTCTGGCAAGAGGAAGAAGGAGGTAAGGCTTTTGGTTACTATGGCGAATACCAGAGATGAATTTACTTTTAAAGAGAAGAGAGCTGACTTGGATTGGAGGTCTTGGGCGTGGGCAGTTGGCTTCTGTGACTGTGTGAGGCCGCACAGTGTAGTGGAAGCCATTTCACCTCATGACTGGGATGCAAGGGAGAGAGAAGAAGAGACTGGGGTCTCATAGTCCCTTTTGAGGTCATAAATGAAGCTCTACCTCTTAAAGTTCCCGTTACTTCCCACTGCGTCTGAGACTAAGTCTTTAACACATGGACTTTGCCGGGGATGCAAGAGCTGTCAAAACCAGGTAGAGGCTTCTCTGTTCCCCATAGTGGATTATTCCCTGACAGTCTAAATAAAGCTAGGAAATGGCTTCCATCCTGTATAAGTGCAAACTGTTCATCATCCTATTTTAGAATAGGAATTGGGATAGCACCTAGAATGTCTGTCTAACACTGGACCGGTTGAAGCACAGCTTGGAGTCACTGGGGTGGGGCACAGAGCTTGACGGTAGAGCGCCTTCGGCTTGTGCAAGCCCCTTAGTCGGGTTCCTAGCCCCGGAGTCCTTAACGCATGCTTCTCTCCCTGTAGACTTTGACGAGCAGACGGCCGATGACTGGGACGTGGACATGAGTGTCTACTACGACAAAGGTACTGGCTGGGGGTTGGCAGTCCTGGGAGGAATGGTGTCTGTATGTTAGCCACGCATGCTTGGCAGAGGTTAAGTCAGGGAGCTAGAGACACTGTACACTCATTCTCAGTGTACTCAAGGAGAATGGTTCTAGAACCCCCATGCACACCAAAATCTGCAGGTGCTTTCTTACACAGTTGTATAATTGCATAGACTTACATACATCCTCGTGCACATTTTAAGTAATCTCTCTTAAAATCAGTTAGCAAGGGCTGGGGCCACATCCTAGTGCTATTTTCCTAGCAGATGTGAGGCCCTGGGTTCAATTCCAGAACCAGGAAAAAAATTACTCACTATCTATGGTGGTGTCCAGCTTGGAATCCCTGCTCTGGAGACGTGAGAGAGACTGGATGATGGGGGTGGGGAGTCTGTGTTGGTACAAACACAGTTATGTTCTGAGTCGTTTCAGAGTGGTTGATCTGCCTGTGCAGAACCTGTACAAATAGGCTGACTGGACTTTACCATCTCTGCTTGTGCGTACTCACTGCCTGTAGTTAGGTGCTGCCGGAGGGCAGGCCCTGGGAACACCCTCAGGGTCTGACTGAACAGGCTCTAAATAGAAGCCTTTGGTGGCCTTTGGTCACCTCGTAGTTCTGAAGGGAAAAATGACCTGGATTTTTGTTTTGTTTCTGTTTTTGTTTGTTTTCTTTTGAGACAGTCTGTGTACCCCTGGCTTTTCTAAAACTCACTATGTAGACCAGTCTGGCTGTTCTTTTTTGATTTTTTTTTTAATTTATTTATTTTTGGTGATTTGGACTAGGATCTCACTATGTATCTGTAGAGCTACACTATGTAGACCAGGCTGGTCTTAAACTCCCAAGTGCTGGGATTAAAGGCATGTGTCAGCACACCCAGCTAAGATTTATTATTTTTATCTATGTGTATGTGTATTTTGCCTGTATGTAAGTATAGCATGTGCCTGGTACTCTTGGAGTGCAGAAGGCATCCAATCACCCGGAACTGGAGTTACAGTAGTGAGTGCCTTATATGTGCTGAGGAATGAACCCAGGTCCTGTGGAGAATCAGCTACACTCTTACTTACTGAGCCATCTCTCTGGCTCCCAGTAACCTGATTTCTGGTTTCATCTCTGTTCTGTGATTTTTTTCTGCACTGTTCTTTGTTGGTGTATCCCGGCAATCAGCTCTCTCCCACCAGCCGGCTCTCAAATAACTACACAGAGACTTATTTATTATAATATTATGATTGCTTGACTGACAGCTAAGCTTGTTACTAACGAGCTCCTACCTCAGTCAACCCATTTTTATCTGTGTTCTACCATGTGATCGGTACCTTATCTCAGTATGGAAAGTTCACCTCCTCCTTTTCTTTGTCTCCTCGGGACTTCTGAGACTCCGCCTTCCTTTCCAGTGTTCTCTCTACACCAAAAATCCTGCCTAGCCCTTGGCCAGTCAGCTCTTTATTAACCAGTGAGGGTAATACATATTCGCCATCTACCGAGAGTTTACCCCACAGTAGTTCTCATGCACAGCGTGAGGGCTGTGCCTCCTGCTGTGTGTTCCCAGTCTCCTGAGAGAGATTCCAGGCATTATGAAAATTAATCAGTAAGTCTTGTGAGGGGACCTCAGACACCTGATTCTCCTGGTGAGAGGGATCCTTTTACAAAATGGGTTATGGTTCCTCAGATGGTGGAGACAAAGACGCCCGTGACTATGTCCAAATGCGCCTGGAACAGAGACTCCGTGGTGGCCAGGAAGATGGCTCTGTGATAGGCCGCCAAGTGGGCGCCTTTGAGCACCACACCAAGGTAAGGGAGCACTGCCCTGCCCACTGATGTTTCCCTTTTCCTGTGTTCTTCTCCAAGAATCAGTCCCCCTCCCTCCTTTCCCTTCTTCCATTCCTCCCTCTCCTCCTCCATCTCTCCCTTCCTTTGAGGTAGGATCTCCATGTGTAGCCTATCCTGACCCTGAGGTCAGGTCCTTCTGCCCCTGTCTCCCAAGTGATGGGACCTGCACCACCTTGTCAAACTTAAACCACTTTTCCTGAGTCTCACTGCTTCCCTTTGCAGGGCATTGGCCGGAAGGTGATGGAGCGCCAAGGCTGGGCTGAAGGCCAGGGCCTGGGTAGTAGGTGCTCTGGGGTGCCTGAAGCCCCAGAAGGTGATGGCCAGCACCCCAGATGCAAACGTGGATTGGGGTAAGTGCACCCCTAAAGGACTCCTTAGAGTCTTAACCCAGCAATGATGTTATTGGTTTCTTGCTGCTTTTGGGATGCATGCTAGGTACCCCTAGAGGATGAACTTCATAGAAGTAGTAGAAGAAATTGATACTATTCTTCATGTTCATTTTAGACCAAATCCTATAACTTAAAACGATCATGGGTCCCCCAGGAAAGTCATTTCCTAAAGTCTGAGTTTGGGATTCATAAGAGAGCCCGTTGTGGGATGAAAATGTCAGGGCTCCTTGTAGTTGGCACAGACTGTCTCCAGAAGGGGGCGAGCACTATGCAGGTGCATAAAGCTTTGTCTTTGGTGTTGGGGTCTGGCCCTGGGTTCAAACCCTATCAACACAAGACAGCATATCTTACAGGACAAACTAGATATATAGTAGCTACTCCTGTCCCTTGCCCTGTTTGATACAGGTACCATGGAGAGAAACTACAGCCATTTGGGCAACTGAAGAGACCCCGTAGAACTGGCTTGGGGCTCATTTCCACAATCTACGATGAGCCTCTTCCCCAAGACGAGACAGAGTCCATGCTCCGACGCCAGCCACCCACAAGCATGAAGTTTCGGACAGATATGACTTTTGTGAGGGGTTCCAACTGTGCCTTGGACAGACCCCTGGAGCCTGAGTGAGGGCTGGTCCTTGGTCAGGGTCACTCAGCTGCAGGAAACAGCCTGGGTCTTGCCTTGTGGACTTCTGAAGCAGCCAAGAGCCTTGGAGTCTGCAAAACATGCTCAAGTACTCATACCTGAGCACGCCTGCGCTTGTCTACCTCAAAGATGATTTCACAGAAAGCCCCTCCCTCTCCTGGGGTGGTCTCTGAACCCTAGTCCTTGTTTGGACTCGCCCCAGAACCAGGAAGATCTGGACTGCCTGTGGCACATTCCAGTCGGTTTTGCTGGGATCTGAAGGAGGCCCTCACGAGGTCAGAAAAAGAATAAGGGACCAGAGAAGAACTGATCCAGAGAGGGCCGGGCGCCCCTCACTACCTCTACCATTTGGCTGGGGGCGGGTCTGCACGAGAATAAACTCGTTTAGGACTGAACCGGCCCGGAAGTCTGACCTAGAGAAGTTAGGGAAACCCTGAGACTGACACCGCAGCGGGAGGAAGGTGGCTGTGTAACTACAGCTCCATTGTCGGCCAACGTCGTTGGCGTGTGGGCGGGACTTCCTCTCAACCATTTCCGGCGGAGTCCGGAAGTCGGAGTTTTTCCGTTCCTTGCCGGGTAGTTTTCTTGTTTTCTGCGTGGGTCTCCTTGTTTTAGTTCGGGAGGCGCCTGTGGGCTGGCCTGCTCCAGCCATGGCGGGGGCCGCCCCGGCCACAGCCTTCGGGCAGGCGGTGATCGGGCCCCCGGGCTCGGGGAAGACTACGTATTGCCTGGGCATGAGTGAGTTCCTGCGCGCGCTCGGCCGGCGCGTGGCGGTGGTGAACCTGGACCCAGCTAACGAAGGGCTGCCCTATGAATGTGCCGTAGACGTGGGCGAGCTGGTGGGGCTGGGCGACGTGATGGACGCGCTGCGCTTGGGCCCCAACGGTGGTCTGCTCTACTGCATGGAGTACCTGGAAGCCAACCTGGACTGGCTGCGCGCCAAGCTCGAGCCCCTCCGAGGCCACTACTTTCTCTTCGACTGCCCCGGCCAGGTGGAGCTCTGCACGCACCATGCCGCCCTGCGTAATATCTTCTCCCAGATGGCACAATGGGACCTCAGGGTGCGTCTCGGTCGGGCAAGCCCTTTACGCAGAGGGAGTCCCTGAGACAGGGAGGCAGGCAGATGCCACGCCCCCAAGTCACACTACGAGATACTGGCCTAGTTGAGTGTGGAGCAGAACTAATGCCTCTGAGTTCGAATTTTAACACTGCCACCAACTCTGTCATCTGGGAAAGTCCTCTTGGCTCAGTTTTGTATCTCATGAATAAATGTGTTAATTCCTAATTGGGGATTTTAAGTGGAAGTGATCAATATAGAAAGTGGCCACAGCAATTGTTGGTGTGCAAAAGTGTATTGAAAGAGTAGAGAGACAGATGCAGTGTAATTTGAACCTGTCTCCCACTGCAGGGCGCTATGCAAGAAACCTCATAAGAGGGACTGGAGATTTAGCTCAATGGTAGAGATTTTGCCTAACAAATAGAAGCTGCAGGCCCTGGGTTTGGTCCCCAGCATAGTAGGAAGGAAACAAAGGTACTTTGTAATAAAACCCGCATATTTTCTGGGCGGAAGACATGATGCTGGTTGTTAGAATTAAATACAAGAGCCCGGGAAAGTGGCACATGCCTGTAGTTCCAGCACTTGGCTTGTGGAGGCAGAAAGATCATGAGCTCCAGGCTGTAAACCCCTGTTGCAAGCGCACACATGCAAGGACATGCAAGGAAATAGAAGCGGGACACAGCTGAGGAAGGCTTAGGCTGGATCCTTAAGCTGCTCATCTCACCCGGGAGGCGTGGCCCCGAAGCCCCTCCCACTGCGGTCCGGCTTTCCCTCTCATCCTCTGTCTTCTGCTCACAGCTGACAGCTGTCCATCTTGTGGATTCTCACTACTGCACAGACCCAGGCAAGTTCATCTCCGTGCTGTGCACGTCCCTGGCCACCATGCTGCATGTGGAGCTGCCCCATGTCAACCTCCTCTCCAAGATGGACCTTATCGAGCATTATGGGAAACTGGGTAAGAGCCCCTGCCTGGAGCAGGAGGGAAGCTGCTCCACATGTCTTCCTAACATGGCGCATCAGTGTGCCAGATACTGGAGTAGACGAGAGATGACAGATGAGCGCTACAGAGCGATTAAAACAAGGTGGTAGGACAGTGGCTAACTGAAGGAGTGGCTAGCTGCTCACTGCCCTGAGCCCTGGCACCCTGATGCTTGGCTGGTGAGAAGTGGCCTACTGGAGGACTGGTCTAGCCTGTCCACTAGGGGCAGAGGTGTTGGCCTATCGTGAACTGCCATAGTGAAACCACCATCCACCGGGTGGCTCAAACAACAGATGTTCTAGAGGGTAGAAGGCCTTGAGTTGGAGGCATGGGTAGACCCAGGGTCTGGCTTGTGGACGGTCACCTGCATCATCCTCACATGGCAAGAATGCATAGGGCTCAATGGGTAGTGGCTCAATGACCAGCCTTTTTTTTCTGCTGTGCTAATGGCATCTGCTCCTCAAAAATCTGAAACCATAAAGGAGCCGAGAGGAAAGCTGAAATGTCTAGTATGTGAGCAGGGAGGGGGCTGGGAGTGATGTAGAAGGGACCTTGCCTAGTCAGGACATGGAGGGAGGTCAGCCCAGAATCCACTCATATTTGGGAGCGACTTTCCAAGGAGCCCAAGTGACTGTTCGGTATGATGATATGTGTCTGTAATCCCAGTACTTGGGAGATGAAGACAGGAGGACCGGGTTCAAGGCCAGCCTGGGCTACATGAGACCATCTGTAGAAAGGGAAGGAAGGAATCAAGAGATTTGTTTTTTAATGTTACTGAGATTGAACCTGGAGCTTCACACCTGCTAGATAAACAATCTGCCATTCAGAAACCACTGGTACTTTTTTTCTCCTTAAGATTTATTTTAGGGGGGCTGGAGAGATGGCTCAGCGGTTAAGAGCACTGATTGCTCTTCCAAAGGTCCTGAGTTCAATTCCCAGCAACCACATGATGGCTCACAACCATCTGCAATAAGGTCTGGTGCCCTCTTCTGGCCTGCAGACATACACACAGAAAGAATGTTGTATACATAATAAATAAATAAATAAATAAATATTTTTTAAAAAAAGATTTATTTTAGGGGGCTGGAGAGATGGCTCAGTGGTTAAGAGCATTGCCTGTTCTTCCAAAAGTCCTGAGTTCAATTCCCGGCAACCATATGGTGGCTCACAACCATCTGTAATGAGGTCTGGTGCCCTCTTCTGGCCTGCAGACATACACAGACAGAATATTGTATACATAATAAATAAATAAAAGATTTATTTTTAAATGGGTATACTGACGCACGCCTGTAATCCCAACACTTAGAAGGCAGAGACAGGTTGATTTCTGTGAAATCGAGGCCAGCCTGATCTACATAGTTCCAGGAGAGCCAGAACTGCATAGTGAAACCCAGTCTTAAAAATCTGTGTGTATTGTGTGACTGTATGCCATACATATGTGGGTCCCCAGGGAGGCCAGAAGAGGTCATGTGATCGCCTGGAGATGAAGCTGCAGTTATGAGCCTCCCATGTGGATATTGGGAACCAACTCAGGTCCTTTGGAAGAGTAGCAAATACTCTTAACTTCTCAAGCTGCCCCCCTTTAAATTAAATTTTTTTCATTTATGTGGGGTACATGTTTGTGTGGAGGTCAGGACAAATTGTGTGAATCAGTTATCTACTTCTACTGTGTGGCTCCCAGAGATGACTCAGGTTGTCAGGATTGGCTCCAAGTGTCCGTCTTCACTGAGCAATCTCACAGGCTTCTTTTATTTTGTTTAGAGTTTCCCTAAATTACCCAGGCTGACCTTAAATTTACAGTCTAGGCTATCCTTAAACTTCCAACCCTTTTGCCTTAGCTGTCCTTGTATCTGGGATTACTTACCAGCGTGTGCTACCAGGCCAAGAGAATATTTCTCTTTCTTTCTCTTCCTTCCTTCCTTCCTTCCTTCCTTCCTTCCTTCCTTCCTTCCTT